CCGAATGAACTCAATCAAGCAGAAAACTACATTTCATACAAGTCAATGAACACACTTCTTTCTACAGAAGAAACAAGGAAAAAGAGGAATTTTCACACTGACACTTGACATAATCCGAATTCATTTCCAGAATCTCAGGACATCTTCACATATTACATTTTCTTGCAAAAAAAGGGTAAAAAAAATTCAAACAGAGGAATCCTCAGAGCGTGTCACCTGCATAAGAGGAGACACTAGATACACACGGAAACCAATATCGACGTCTGCCATCTCTATGGCCATCATCAATCATTGCAAGTCCTTCCTGTATTATATTACCCAAAAGAGTCTTATTAGCTCGATCAAATAAATAGCTCACAGGCACAGAAAAAAAGTATCGAATAGAATAGAAAAAACAACACCAGTGACATACTTCTAATAAAGTTTCAAGAGCATCAGTTGCACGACCAGAAGACCAAGAGAATCGTTTCTGTACCTCATCAACCGTCACAAAGCCTTGGCCCTAAGAGAACAACAATAGCAAAAAGCAATACTAAAAATACAAATCTGAAAACGGCTTTCTGCAAATAGCCATGCAGTTACATGCTATATTGACATGCAAAAGAAATATCAGAAATGCAAGTTTGATGAAAATATATAGTCAAAGGGGAAACCTGAGCCAGCTCCAGAATTTCATTATGGTCCTTATTCAATTCCGTAGGAACGGACCGAACAAGCTTCTTTTTTCCAACAGAAATCACCTCAAATCCATTACCTAGTACCTGAAAAGTTTCTTTGTTACTATAACATATACCACAGTAAAATATCACGTCAAGTCGATTTTTAGAGAGAGAAGGAAGAGAAAGCAAGTTAATGAAAGAAAAATAGGCAACAGATGAATAACACCGCTAGAAGTGAAAAGAAACCTATATATCATTCATGGAGCAGAGAAAAATGTGCAACGTCTTAATCAGTCATCAGGGCAGAAGGACAGGCATGGTAGTGAGAAATCTGCGCTGAAACAACAAATTGATGATATAGTAGGGCAACAGTTGAAAGAGAAGTCCTACTTTACTCTCAGCTAATAGTGAAGCATAAGAAGTGGTTCAGAATAATTCCAATTCAATGTGAACATCAGGTGATCAAATAGATTGGTTCTTTCCAATTCAGGTACAGTCCTAAGCATCCCCTTATCAAACCAAAAACCTGGATTAAGTGTCTCATACTTAACTCTTACAAGTGCTCATGCAACACTTGGTAGTCTTAAAACATACTACATGAATCAGTCAATTAAGTGATGCAGAAGCTTGGTTAGTCGAAAGTGATGCCTGATGTTCAGCATAAATAAATTACTAGCTTTCAAAAGACCTTAAGCTACAACGAGGCAGCGTGGAAGCTAAGTATAAAATCAGGGAAACTGCAAACATGAGAGAGATGGACAAGAGCTCGAGTGAGATAAAGCTTTTTATTCCTCAAAATTGTACTTTACAGCTTGACGATTACAAATGAGAAATTTCAGCCAACGGCGGCCTACACCTAGCCTGCCGCAGTCTATCAATAGATTTCTTGTTTGGGGCACAGTGCTCATATAATTGTACAACATGAAATGGAAGCATACATATTATGTCAACCACGCCATTATCACTTCTTAAAATTCAGAACAATTGTGGATCCTCGTAAAATAGTACGCGCTCAGTAAACAAGGTTCCGTAAATGGGCTGGAGGTGTGCAATAGCGAATGCCATGTGCCTAGTATAAATATTTTAGGCCCACAGTAGCATGCGAAAAAAAGAAGAGAAAATCGTAACCACAATACCTTTAGCTTACTTATCGCACGCAAGCAATCATCCTCAGAAACTGCTTCACGAGCACCCTTCCTCCTTTGACCAAGAAGTTTACAGAGATCTTCTAAGCTAATTAGGCCACCATTGTGAGGTCTAGTAGCCAAGCAAATGTCAACAATTTGCACTCCTGTCTAGATAGACAAATTCACCTTAAATTAAACTTGAAAATAAAAAATCCGGACTTTCAATGCAAAGAAGTATACAGGCTGTGAAATCAAATATTGGAAATAAAGCACTGCTAAAGAATACCAAAAGACTGAAACTAAAGGCTGCAAAAGGCTTAACCATATATCATAAAGAACCAATGACTGAACACCTTCCAGAACAACTGCGGCATACTAGACTGAATTTTAGCCAAGTAACTTATGATGTGTTTTCATTTACGTCTCAAATTTCATGGTAATTATTGATCTCAAAACTCCCCGCTTTACAGTGATGACAATAAATACAAAGAGACAATTACTGCAAGAAACCAAAGCCAAGAAGAAGATTGATACCAACCAAGTTCATAATAGAAGTCACCAATCCCCAATAGCTCAGCCCAAAAACCTTTATTCGAGGCCAGCGGATCCACACCTACTTTAGCACACATCTCATGGAACTGTGCCCTGAATGCAGGATTCTTGCGTATATCATTCTGCATAAACCATGACAAGTAAATTATTTTCTATCTTCTTTTTCATAATCTTCTACCCATCAGTGAGCATAATTCGAATACTCCAGCAGTTCAGCAACCCTTAAGTCCTTTTGTCCTTAATTAAGTAAATGTTTTCGTATCAATATGAATTAGCAGAAAATGATTAATCGATAACCAATATAAAAGTGGGGAATTAAATAATTAAGTAGATACTTAACAAAACTAAATGAAAACTTGAATCTGACTAAAAAAAGGGACCTTGTGTTTGCGGGCAAAGTCTTCCAGCTGAGAGCGAAAAGTCGAAAGCTGTTCTTTCAGGACATCAGTTCGCAACTTCGCCACATTTTCTCCCAGCAAACGATATTGATCCTTTCATCATAAAATCAAATTTCAAACACACACACTCAAGATAAATACACATATACACATAAAAACTAATGTAGAATCACACAAACACAGTATATGAGTGTAAATTGTAATGATTATTAATTAATGAAGAATAAGATGGTGAACAAACTCTAGCTGCGGCAGCATTCTGTAGACCTCCAATTCCAGGTCTTCGCCTCATTCTTCAATTCTGATTTCCGTACTTCTTGAATCGAATTGCTTTGCGATCAGGACCAGACCTGAGATTTTCACACATGAATCAACTCTAAAGGTTGGGCTCTCAAAATTGTAGTATGCATTCAAAAAAAATTTCTCCATAAGCTTTTTCAAGAACTGAATTTATAAACTCAAAAATCAAAACCCAACAATAAAAAGGCAAACAAAATATATTTATATTATAATCAAATAATAGGGTCGAAGATGAATTCATGAATAATTGGCCTCTGTTTGAGATATTAAGAGAATATATTTCACCAGCAAGGAACTTATTCGAGAGGAAAAAGAAAAGCTAAAAGCATCTCATTATTGATTAACCACATAAAACTTCTTCTTTTTTTATGAAGTGTTAAAAACAGAAGTTACTGGACAAATGGAGCAATAAACAGTGGAAATATTTATTTTTTGTCAAAGTACAAACAAATTCAGAGGGTGCCAAACTTTTTAAAGTAATAATGAAAAGAAACTGAAGAATATCGAGAATGATGATGAAAAGTGAAAGCCAAATCATCAAGCTCAATTGCATACTGAAACTTTGAAAGCACATACAGTACACTTCAAAATCAAACCACAAATTCCAATTAAAGCTTCTGTCTCAATTCCTCGTCCATCCAATTGCAATACACCAATGACTAATCTTCATAATAAAAAAAATCTAACTACACTAAGAATTTCATCATCCAGCCAGGGGCGGAGCCACCTGGGGTTGCCTCCATTGATCCTAGGGGTGGATATGGTTTCATTTGGTTGTGGTTTTAAGAGAACCAGACCAAACCATGAACCAAATATTTTTTTTATAATGGAACCAAATGGTTTTTTTAAAGATATGGGACCGGACCATTCGGTTCTACTTTGGCTTGGTTTGGTTCTAATTTTATTATTGATTGAGAAAAATGAGAAAAAGAAAAATTGAGGGAGAAAAACCGAAGGTTAAGGCTTCAATTTCACAAAATCATGCTACGGTTGTGGCTGAGCGCGATGATAGATGGCATGGGGTAGTTGTTGGTCTCCGACTCTCCATGAAATGGTCAGTGCATAAATTGAAAATGAGAGAAAAATGAGAAATGAATTAGGTCTGTGTCCCCAAAATGAATCAGGGTCTCCAATCTCCACACTGGGAAATGAGAAACCGAAGATACACGACCTTTTGGTCTATTTTCAATTAGTTGGTGTGAATTGTGATTCACTAATTTGTAAATATGTATATATAATAAAATTTAAATATTGGATTTGGTTCTTGGTTTTAGAACTAGAACTGAACTAAAATCAAAACCAAATGGTTCTCAAATCTAAGAACCAGAATCATTTTTTTTTTTGGTAGAACTGAACTGGACCCCTCGGTTTGATTTGGTTCTGGTTTGTTCTGATTTGGTTTGGTCATTTTGTCCATCCCTAACTGATCTAGAGTATTTCACCTGTTTCACTTGAGGGGCAGCCAGTTTTTAAGGCAAAGAGAAAACCATAAGCAACCGCATCAGAAATTCAAGAGAAATATTGTCGAAAAAATACTGTTGCTAGAGGAAGATACCATCAAGAAACAACAATTTTGGAAAAATAAATAAATTATAAGGAGTTAGTTGAAATTAAATCATTCACAACAATCAGATCAAGTGCAATTTCAGCATATAATGCCCATTTTTAGACTATAAAATCCGATACTACCTCCCAAGTTTGGTGATGAAGAAGTTGAGTAGAAATCACTGCAACGGTGCCAAGGGGTGATGAATATGAGATCGAAAAACGGGGAGGAAGTGTACAAAATTTTCCCAATTTTTAGTGTAATGCCGAGGGAGAAACCCTTAGTCGCCTGTCCTTTGCACCATGAATAAGACTTCACAATTATGTGCTGGAATATAGTTGGATATGCATGCCATTTATTTGGGCTTTACAAAAACTATCCATAAAGGAAAATATAACAGAATGGGCTCCTATCAAATTCTAATCCATTTTTGAGATGGGCTTCAATCGAATAATAAGTAAAAATAAAAATGTGGAAATTACATGTATCCCTATCTAGCTTTTTGCCCCTCCTTCACAGCAAAATTTTCCCAATTTTTAGTGTAATGCCGAGGGAGAAAACCTTAGTCGCCTGTCCTTTGCTCCATGAATAAGACTTCACAATTATGTGCTGGAATATAGTTGGATATGCATGCCATTTATTTGGGCTTTACAAAAACTATCCATAAAGGAAAATATAACAGAATGGGCTCCTATCAAATTCTAATCCATTTTTCAGATGGGCTTCAATCGAGTAATAAATAAAAATAATAATTTATATAATTTTCAATAGGCAATAATATTAAATAAATCAAAATTAAGAATTTATATTAAAAGAATAAGATGCACTATTTTTTTTGTTATGGGATTAATACGAATTTTAAATTGAATTAACTTGATAATTTGTAGTTTGGTGTATTTGTTTATAATAATAATTATTTGATTACCATTAAAATGAACAAAATATTGTAAATTATTTCGATTAAATAATTAATCAAAATTAATAATTTATATTGAAAGAATAAGATGCACTGTTTTATTTTTTATTTTTTGTTATGGTATTAATGCGAATTTTAAATTGAATTGACTTGATGATTTGTAGTTTGGTGTATTTGTTTATAATAATAATTATTTGATTACCATTTAAACTTCTTTTTTGACAATTGTAACTTTTTCTCGTAGAATTTCAATATAAAAGTTATAGATATTTAAGAATATTTACAATTTTTAATTGTAGTAACGGTATGTTACATCTCATTACTAATAACTGAATACTCGTAAATGCAGTTACAGTTTGCACTCGAGAATGCACTAGATTGCATAAAAGACGTATGGGCGTGTAAGATGCAAACAGATTGAAGTTTAAGATTAGCTAGCAATGTATACACCTTACCTATATATTTGGTGGAACTTTAAAGAGGTTTCTGCGGGGAGACATGAGAATAACGGTGAGAAATTTGTTGAAATATTCTACAATAAAAAGAAGTCAAAAGGATTTTGTAATTAGAGGTTCTATTTAAGAAAATATAAGAAACTTGTAACATTTGAATAAAAGTTCATGAAAACATATCTACAAAAAATAATTTAGAAAAAATATATAAATCATAATATATGATCACCATGGAGAGAGTTAGATATTGAAAGTAAGAGTTTTAAAAGAACATCATTATATTTTTGAAACATTATATTTAAAGATATGTATTATGTCCCCACAAAATCAAAATTTTTGGCTCCGTACATCCAGCAAACATTAACTAAAATAATTGAGTCATGTAAAAATTGAAGAGCATATAAAATTTTAGCCAAAACCTAAAAGGCCGAAATTACACGTTATTAATTATTTTTATAACTATACAAATATGCACGGTATTTATAAAATGGAACAATACATAATTCATACATTTCATAAATAGCAAAATCATTAAAATATTTCAAAATTCAGGTGGTAAATAAATTTGGGTTAATTTCACAAATGGTCACTGAAGTTACCTGAAAATTTCAAAACGGTCACTGAAGTTTCAAAATATCAGAAACGGTCACTGAATTTTTAGATTTTTTGGCCAAGTTTGAGACAATTTTTCGCCAACTTCCGACCACCAAAA